ATGTAGTTTTCAAATTTATTTTCGTCAAGTTTCTCTCTTGTATTTTATTTTTCTTCATATTTTAGTTTTTCTCTTGGTATCAGAGAGCAGGTTCTGTCATGTTTCTGCATATCATTTATTTTTGTCTTCAAAAAATAAATCATGGTTGATTGCTTACGCGTACTTTTTTTAATATATATATTTTTAAAAATAGTTTCATGATCATGTTCATTCATGAATATTTGTGCCATGTTAACTTGAAATTCATCAGAAATCACTAGATTGCCTTTTCCTATACTATTAATCATATATTTCAGTCATATTTTTTCAAGAATGACCCTCCATAAATCTCGCACAAATCAAATTTCATTTGAGGCACAATTTTTTTTCTCATAAATCAACTTCATTTGATCCATAAATTTCAGTAACGGACAAAGAGGAAAAATATATACCTCCGAGTCAACCTACAAAATTCCCATCATGACAAACATCTAATCTTTCTCGAAAGAGTTTTGACTTGTCATGTAACAATCTAACAATCCAACGAAAATTTCCATTATGACAAAAGTCTGATCTTCTCTCAAAAGAAGATTTTTTACTTGTTATACACCAATCTAACATCACAACAGGAATTTCAAGCAAGTTGGCCAAAGTATAGCAGAATCACTCAAGATCAAGAATCTCAAGAAATTTGACGCCATCAAGTCAGTGAAGCAAACTGAGTCTCCAACTCCGACTCAGTTTGAGGGGAGATGTTAAAGATAATTATGAAGAGTAGTTGAGAGATCAAATTTAGTGATAATTTTCTGATGAATAATTATGAGTGTAGTAATTTAATTTATTAATTATCAAAAATAGTTTTTATCATCAAAAATAGCTTTTATCCAAAATGTGCACATACCTATAAATATTGCATATAGCTTTTATTTTGTATCACCATCAATAGAATGTAGTCTTCAAAAATTTCTCTCTTATATTTTATTTTTGTTCATATTTTAGTTTTTCTCTAATGTCACCTCAACAAATACTCCCACGTATGTATAAAGAAGAATAGTTGTGATAATTTATGGAGACAACATATACTATATCGTTTTACTTATTAGCAATTGAGACGAAAAAGAATAATATAAATAATCAATTTACATATGGGAACACGTACCATCACCATCGTTTGGAATTTCATTTTTATTAAGTAATGGATTTACATGATATGGCACTATCAAACAGAAGCCTATTATAAACACGACAGATGATAATCCCCATTGTCCATCAACGTGGGGGCAAGGACAAATGTACAATATGGTCTGGTGATACGAGAATGATATGATATAGGAGGGAGTATACACAAATTATGAACAAACTTTACAGATTTAAGTCATAAATGAACAATGTACGTACGTACCACACGCAAATAAGTCGGCACTGGCTCACTGATATGAGAGCGGCTGAACCGGACCGGTTTATCATTGAAGAAAAACCAGGATTAAAACGGAAAACAGGGTGCAAGAAACCCGAAGTGGTACAAAATAAATGGAGATCTTTTGGCTTTATATGGTAACTACTGTTGGGCTACATAGCTTTGACAAGTTGTTGATATGATAGCCACCACCATATATTGTATTGACACCCTCCACTATTTATTTTATCACTACAGTAATCTATTTTTCCTAAGAGATACACTTTGTATTTACTTCTTTGCTCTCCTCCCCAAAATTTAGAGAAATTATAATCTCTACGCTAATAGTTTTTGGCATTTTGTGAATAAATTTGTATTTTGACATCATGTATCGCTCTTAGTCAAAATATAATTTCACTATTGTTTTCATAGATACATCATTTTCTTCGTGATTAATAATACAATTCAGTAACTTTTACCAATTCTTTTAATATCAAACCACAAATATATTGTTTACTTATAAAATTTTAAACCAAAATCATTCGTTTGTCATTAGGATTATATGTCTTTAATATTTCACAAAATCAAACATCTTTTCAATTATACATCTATCTATAGTGATAACGTTGTCGATTTTAACGTAGCTGTTCATGGTCCTAATCGTTGTGTTGGACAATTCAAATGGATCAGAATTATATCACAAACGTTTGTAGGAGGTGAAATATAACATGTTTCAAACCTGAGGTGAAATCGCATAATTATATAAACTTTTCTGATGGGTCTAGCCGTCTAGCCATCTAGGTAGTAGCAAGAGGGGCTTCTTTATACTTAATGCTAGAATAAAACCTTTTTTTTTTTTTTTTTTTGATAAACAATGCTAGAATAAAACTAATAGTAATAGAATGCAGAAATGGCAGGGGTTGATGAGAGTATGATTTGATGTAAAGGCTGATGGGCTCTGGCAATGGGTGGGTTTTATTTCTTTTCTTCCCTTCTGGAGTCTGGGCGGAGGTGGTGGTAGTAGTAGTAGTAGTAGGAGGGGGGTGGTTCTCAAAATCCGAGCAATGACGCGTCAATATCTTTTATTACCATGAGAGACCTTCTTTCTTTCAATTGAGTTTCCATTTCCAGTTTCTTCCTTTTTTTCTTTTTTTTTTAAAAAAAATATATAATAGTATTTGTTTGATTGTGATGGATGGATGGATTGAAGGACGTGTGCATGTGTGTGAGTGTGTGTAAAGAAAAGAGATGTTTAAGATTTTGGATGGGATTGATGAATAGATATATGCATGAGTAATAAATATATCTAGCTCCATTAATTGATCCAAAAAAAAAAACCTTTTTTTTTTTCTGATTGATGAATCTTTCTTCCTCATTTATGGCTACCTCTAACTACTACTACTACTCCTTTTCTTCCCACTCGTGTGGTTTTGGAAAATCAATTATTAACTCATTCACCCCTAACTTTCCCCTACAAATAAGAATAGTGGTGTAGTAAGACTGTAAAACTATTTGAAGGTTGTATCAATGAATCTGCATACGTTGTAGTTTATCACCCTAATGGTTTTTTTTTTTTTTTGTCACTAATGGTTCCATTATAAAGTGTGGTATGATTTAGTCTTATTTGCCGAATTGGAACAATATAAAAAAAAAAATTCGTACTTTTACAATAGAGAGAGAAATAAGTTTTTGATAACATTCGATATATACACTTTATGGACAATGTGACACGAGATAGAATGACAGAATTTTAAGGCCGAGAGAAACTAGAGAAGAGAAAATATTAAGAGTATGTTTATTTCGTTTTTTTATTATCTGTTTTTAAATGTTTTTTGTATTGAGAATATAAAAAAGTATATTAAAAATATAAAAAAATATGATAGAATGGAAAAATTATTATTTAAATATTTTAAAAATACCATAAAAAAAACCTAACAAATAAATGTGTTTACATTGGGTTACAATATTGTGCGTCAGTTGCTATTTTGCTAAGATTAATGTACGTACACTATTCTTAATTTATTAGAAAAACTCCTGCTGGGTTGGCTGTGTAACATATGAAAGTTGCAATCTTGAGATACGTCGTACATATGTATAGATCACCCAATAATGATGAAATGAAACATCACTTGATTCACTGGTACACCCAACAACTTTAACAACTATTCCCCCTCCCCAGCTTTTCTCCCACTTCTATCAATTCCCTTTTTCCGTTTTCCGGCTGTGAACTTTGATATTCCTTAATATTATCTAATTTACAAACAAAAGAAATTTTTCTTTTTCCCATAGTGGTCGAAAATATATAATATGTTATGATGTATCCGTCTCATTTTAATCGATCATTTTATGAACTAAACAAGACGGACGGACTGGAGAGTTGCATATATATGTAAACGTGCGACTGCACAACTGCTACAATTATTAATAACTGAGGAACATAATTATGTAGTTATTACTTATCAGGTTTGGTAAATAGTTTTATTAAGAGGGACAGAACAGAAGCTTCAATCCGCTGTTGAAAAATCTTGCTGCAAGATTTTGTAACACAGTTGAAAAAAGCTAGCCTATTTACACCAGAAATAATTTTCTTAACTATTTGCCACTTTGCCAGTGATGATGAGTGAATGTAACAGCCCCTCCTCTTCCTCCTCCTCCTCCAACTACTACTATTCATCAAATAGTAACACATTTCAGCTCTGATTTGTTAATGTAACATGACATCTTTCCTGCTCCCCCATATCTCATCAGAATATTACAGTATAGCGAGTTGTTACAACGTCTTCTGATTATATCTTTCTAAAGTAGTAATTCCCACAGTGATTTGATTCCTTTTTCTAAATTTGTATAGTAATATCAAATCAAAATTCATATAGAAAAAATGCAAGGTACAAATCAGTGGAAGAAGGTTACAAAATGAGTACCTTTTTATCGTCTATTTCTTCGTCTCAAAGTTGTTATTTTGTTTTATGTATTAAATTGACAATCTTATGTGTTTATGAGCAGCATTAAGTTGCCGACTGAATAGTTAAATTCTTCATCATGAACTAGGCTGCTAATTAATGCTCAACATCCTAACGATTCACAAAAAAAGAGAACAGAAATCCAGAGGCAGAGACGATGGTGAGGGGAAGAAGGAAAAAAGCAAAAAGCTTCCTCCCCCCCTGCATATATGATGCAACCTTTTTGTACTCATTGACAATAATTTCGAACCCAGAAGGCCAAAACTTGAAAATCAGCAAAATCAGTTTAAATTGAGCAAACAAACAAAACCCACAAAACCATGTGATGATAAGTGAAACCGATTGGGGAAACTGAAGGAAAAATGTAGAGAAAATCAAACCCAGAAAATTCATAAAAGGGAGGGGAAAAATCGAAAAAAATAGAGGAATTGAAATGAATTGAATGGATGGATGGAATTAGGTTGTCACTGTCAATCCGATTTATTTAATCTTTGTACTGTGCTGACAGATGAGATATGAAACAGCTTTATCGAACTATGGTGAGTGAATTCTTTTTTCTCTCTCCCTTTCCAATTTTTTCCTTTCCTTTGTGGTAGTATTTGTGTAATGCAATGCATTGAAGTCTCTTCTATCTCTTTAAAAACTACTTCCTGTTCCTTCCCTTTCATTTTCTTACCTGACAAAGGAATACCTGCACACTTCTTCACGCACGCACGCATACTCAATTCAGAACCCACACACACACACATTACATACATCACCCTCTTTTCCTACCCCCTCCCAAAGAAAGCCCTATGGTTGTTTATAGCTACTATATTGGATGTGGTACAACTGAGCTGCAGTAGAGTTGTAGAGTAACAGAGTAGTGATCAGAGAGAAAAAACAGAACAGGACAGTCCCCAAAGAACCCTCAGATTTTTCCAGCCCATTTCATAATATTACACATTATTTCACCTTTCCTTTCTGCCAATTCGATTCATCAAATCCCCATGAACGTGTGTGATCACTGATCAACAAACAACACCCTCCTTTATAATATAAATAATACTCCCCCCACACACACACACACACAACTTACAAAAGCCCTCAAGCTGATTTTGTTTATTTATATACCTCATCCATCAGCAGAGTTTTTTGTTTTCTTAAGCCATGCATTTCCTGTTCTCTCTTTGAAAGGAAGAAGAAAGCTTTAAGCTTTTTTGCTGTTTGATCGAGAACCCTTCAACTATTTCATTGAAAGTTTCTGACCTTAAGCCTAATTTGTTTGAGAAATGGGGAGTTACAACCATTACCACTATGTTGCTGAGGGGAATGATTCACATTTGCCACCAGGGTTCCGTTTTCACCCTACTGATGAAGAGCTCATCACATACTACCTTTTGAAGAAAGTTCTGGACAGCAATTTCTCTGGCAAAGCCATTGCTGAAGTTGATCTCAACAAATGTGAACCCTGGGAGCTTCCTGGTACTTGTTGTATTCTTTAATCTTTGCCTTTTAGTTTTTTCCTGGTTCCAAATCTCCCCCCCCTCTCGAATATGCATAATGTAAAAGATGTTAACTTTTGGCAATTTTGTTTGCCCTTTTGGAACAGAGAAAGCGAAAATGGGGGAGAAAGAGTGGTACTTTTTCAGCCTGAGGGATCGGAAATACCCAACTGGGCTAAGGACTAACCGGGCAACTGAAGCTGGTTATTGGAAGGCAACAGGCAAAGACAGGGAGATTTACAGTTCAAAGACTAACTCCCTTGTTGGGATGAAGAAAACCCTGGTCTTCTACAGAGGCAGGGCTCCTAAAGGAGAGAAGAGCAACTGGGTTATGCATGAGTACAGGCTTGAAGGCAAATTTGCCTACCACTTCCTCTCTAGGAGTTCCAAGGTATGCTTTTTTTTTCCCCCATAGCTAGCTAGCTTCATAATCATTTTTGTTTTTGTTGTTTCTTTCATGAAACCAATACATCATCAAGTTGCTTTTTTGTTAGTAATAATTGTGACTGTTATCCTTTAAAACTTGTACCTTCTCTGCTAAAAGGAAATAGAACTATAAAGGCTATACCTGTATAGCTCTCTATTTCATAGCCATAATCTTTGTTGGATTTTTATGCTGCCATAGAAATGTACTGTGTTATTACCTTCAAGAACATGGTTTTTTTGTTCTAGCTTTCTTTTTTCTTTCTTTTTTTCTGAGTCTGTTATCAAGGTTTATCTTCAACTTGTTTCTCTTATTAAAGTTTTACTCAGACTGCCTACATTTTGCTGTCAAATGATTCTTATGGGTGGTGTTATGACTGGCTACAACCTTCATTTTCATGAATGGTTGAAATGATGAAAAGTTGCTTCCCTTTTAGTGCTAACTCGCATGCAGAAGAAAATCGGTCAGTACTGTTAGTTGTAAACATGGATTGATGCATTAGAAAAGCTATTGTTGTGGGGATTTGGCCAGTCTTTGGAATTATTATGTGATGTTACTTTCGTTATCAATGTCAATTCTCTTGAGTTCGTCCCATTTCTTATCTTTTTCGAAACTGAAAACCTGATATTCTTCTCTTTTGATTTGCATGCAAAAATATGACATCTTTCCTACTTTGATGTTTACCTTTTAGTACCATCCAATTATTGTCACCCAACAACAAAAACACAGTTGTGAAGTTTGTTCACTTTTTTTGAATTTTTTTTTTTCCCCCTCACTCGTGTATCAATGGCATTAGGACGAGTGGGTGATTTCAAGGGTGTTCCAAAAGAGTGGCACCGGCACTCCGGCCACCTCCGTGCACGGCGGAGGAGGGAAGAAAAGGTTGACCCCAGGTATCAACAACATGTACCCTGACGTGGGCTCACCTTCTTCCGTCTCCCTGCCGTCGCTGCTGGACTCATCTCCGTACACCGCCTCCGCCACCTCCGCCACCACCAACACCGATCACGACAGCACAGCCTCCTATCACGACTGCAAATCTGCCTTAGAGCACGTGCCCTGTTTCTCCACTCCAACATTGGCCAACTTCAATCACGGTGGTTCTCTGTTTGACCTTGCTCCTCCTCCTCTGCCACCATCCCAGCCACCGTCTGGGTCGTCGTTGCTTTCTTCTCTGTTTGATCCACCGCCGGCGGCCTCATCCTCTGCCGGACCTCGTTTCTCGACAAGGGCCGGTAACGGAAACGGAGTTTCTGGGTTTCCTAATTTGAGGTCTCTACAGGAGAACCTTCACTGGCCTTTCTTTTTCCCGACGGCGGCTGCTACTCCACCGGCATTGCCTGCTCCTGGCGGGAATAACAGCAACCCAATGAATTACGGGGCTCTCAGCAACTGGGCTGCCCCGGATCAGAAAGTGGGTCACACTGATCTGGATTGCTTGTGGAGTTTCTGATGACAGAGACCATGAATTCCGGGATCTTTCAGCTATCATTAGTTTGCTAATCAAACATTATCACTCTTAAGTTAGGATTATCTTTAATTATGGTTGTTTGCAGTATTATGTTAGTGAATTATCTAATGATCTAGTAGTATGCATGTAGCAATGTTATCTGTATAATGGAGATTGGAGAAGCTGTTGTATATTAATTAGTACGAATCTCAATCAGTTTATTTTTATTATGAGTAGGAATTAATGAGTGTTTTTATTACCTCTTTTTTTTTTTTCCTATCCGTGCTTGGCAAATTAATTTATATTCTGTGGTGCATTATTGATTGAAGTTGAACTGCAGCCTGGTGTATGGTGGGCTATTTCGCGATCAAAGTACAGAGGTTATATAAATGATGATTAGGAAATAAGGGAGACAGCAAGTGTTAGATTTTATTTTTAGGTTATCCTTTGTGTACTATGTTGCTTTTCTATTTTCCACCTGGGCTGCTGCTAAATGCTAATTGATCTGCATTTATTGTGGGGGTTTTCTGGTTTTGTGGTGAGGAGGTTTTTCTGTAGTTCTAACTTCTAGGTTTTGTCTTCATGCGTCTGTTCTGACTTCTGACCTTCATCGAAAGTTTGGGAATGGTTTAAATAATTTCTTTGGAGAGTCACACATATGGATGGACAAAAAATAAACCCCTCTATTATTCCGACCATAACAAAAATTGTTCGATTAGAACTGGTGTGGCAAAATTTCCTTGCATTTTGCCTATACTGAAAAACTTGAATATAAATGGTTTCACATAATGTTTCCACTGGTCTCTATTCCGTTACGTATACTTATTTTGATACAAGTGAGTAGTATATTAATGATTCCAACGAAACAAGTACGCATATGGGATTTTGATACAAGTTCATATCTTTACATCTTTTTGTGCTTCTTATGATGCAACTGGTTTTTTGTGATGTTCGGGTTGTAGCAAACGTCAGGATGTTCAAAAGTCACGTGGCAGCCGTTGATGTTTCTTGGAGCATACCATAATTAATCACCTTCATTCATAATTGATGTCCTCCTACGTAGTAAACAATGATGAGGAAGAGAGTGGTCCAACGGCTTGTTGTTTGGAAACTTAGCGGAATTGGGCCGTATTTTCTGTTAACACCAGCTCCGGCCAATCAAGTACCGCACCACTTTGGTGGTTTGGCTCTGAATTCTTTTTTTTTGTTTGGACCAATCATCCCAATTTGGGTAAGGTTCGTCACTCGCACCGGAAAGTCCATAGCACGCCAGTACCACATTTGTGCAAAATCTCTTGTTTAAGGAGTTTTGATTCTGGGCATAAACGTCAAAATGATGATGAAATTGGGCCCAATGTTTTGCAAATATAGCTGGGTTATGGATGAAATGCAAGTCCTCCTCGTCTGGGTATTTTATCCATCATGATGTCCTCTGCGTTGTTTTGTCTCGGTTTTGTTTCGGGCAAACGTCTTTACATGAAAGAATTAGGACTTGAATTCGTAAAGTATCATATTGTAAAGATGACTCTTGCATAACAAACCTAACCAGTTTGTTTCTTTCTTTCTTTTCCCCCTTTATAGTACAGTAGGCTATGTTTCAAAATGTCAAATACAATGATGTTGTGTAAATACTACAACTAATCAGAAATAGGGAAAATGTATTATAGGAATCAGTTTTGGCGGGCCCTTCGCTCGCATTCCATTATTTTCACTACAATTAGAACATAATTATTTTGTTTTAATCCTTAAGCCGGTTATTCAGACAAGTAGTTAGTTATCAACCCCCTTTTTAAATCTTTTAAAGCAAGTGATTTTGCCACGACACTTTCTAGCTTCCACAATAAAAATGACTTCATTAACCTTGTTGTGATTTTTTCTTCCTTTTCTCTCTTCCCCCCCAAATCACATCCCTTGTCTTTTTTACTCAGTAAAATTTTCATTAGTTTTACTTGGGGCAAGAAGTGCACCCAACCATGATATTCTCCTCCATCTTGGTTCTTACAGGTAATTTTTTAAAAATTTAATTTTTGAGCAATTTCAAAAATATTTGAATTGTATGTTCATCACTCATAATTGAGATGTTTGAGGGCTAAATCGCTATTGCAATCGACTAACACCATAACGAAAATAAAGATCAAATTTGGAGAGTAAATTCTTTGCTTAAGTTTGATTGATTTTCAATAGTATAATTCATTTGATTAAATTTCATCATTGTTTTGTGGGTTTGTTTATTTAAAGGATTTTGATCTTCTTTTCGAACAGATTGCGTCCATGGGTTTTCTTTGGAGAGGGAAAGTGGTATTAATTTGGTATCCTAGTTTTTTAGATTGAGTTTTAATTCAAATAAAAAAAGAAAGAAATAAATAAAAAAAAAGCATTCACTAAGTGATCTTTCGAAGGACAATTACTCCCTACAATTCCCCATTGTCATTATTTTTTGAACCCTTTGCTCTAGTATTTGGTATGCCCCATAAAAATTGTAGATTTGAGCAAAAATTATTAACGCAGTGGGCGACGATCTTTGCGCAAGTTGCAACATTTGAGATTTTGACATGTGGACATTGATTAATTATTGTGATAGTGTTATGACTTGTGAGGAAAACTAAAATTATAATTGAGAAAGGGATTTAAGGAAGAGAGAAAGGAAAATAACTTTGATCTCATAAGGGTAATTTCGAAAAGAGAAATTATTTTTGTTGTGGATGCTAAATATTGTTGTGGCTGAATCACCACCCATCTTTTAAACATGATTGGATAGAGGTTACAAGTTTAAGGAAGAGAGAAAGGAAAATAACTTTGATCTCATGAGGGTAATTTCGAAAAGAGAAATTATTTTTGTTGTGGATGCTAAATATTGTTGTGGCTGAATCACCACCCATCTTTTAAACATGATTGTATAGAGGTTACAAGTTTAATTTTATTTTTATTTATTTATTTATTTATTTTTGTTTTATGTGTTTAAATTGAGAGCATATAGAGGGTCAAATGATAAAACATGTGTCAAAAATAATATTGTAAAGAACGGTCGAAAGAAGGGAGGATATATTATTGATATATCATTTTATAGTTTTTGGCGCACCAAAATGCATTCTTGTACTAGCTATTTACATTCTTGTACTCGCTAAAGATTTCTCCATTTTGCAATAGTTTTTCAACTCTTTAGTCATGACATTCACTATTTCACAACAGAGAAGAAATGTTGTCGGAGAGATCTGAACCTTTTAGACCAAGAGTGTCTCGAAGACAACTCTTTTTAGGATTACATTAGTAAATTGCTATTTGCTTTAGCCCAACTGATGAAGTCGAGTCTCGAGTACTGTAGTAAAAAAATTAAAAACATCTGTGGCTTCATTTGATAAATTCCTTAAACTTTGAGGACTACATTTGTGATCACCTAAACACCAAGGACAAAATCACGAAAGTAGCAAGGAAAATAGGAAATGGAGCTCCACTGATGTCGGATCCCGCTTTCGGACCTCGGTCGGGTCTCTTCAATAGACGAGAAACAGTAGAACACTCTCTTCAGTTCAAAAGTTCAAACCAGAAGAAGAAATAGAAGAGAAAACAAATTGAGAGCAAACCATGGAAGAAGAGTACTCAGTTGATCCTGCTCAGTTACTTTCCGCGGCGACCGAATTCGCTAACGACCCAGGTCAACATCCGAACTATCCCCATCCCTGTTTTCAATTTTTTTTTTTCTTTTCTTAAAAGCAAAGTTCAATTTACTGATCATGGTCTTGTTGGTTGTTGTAATCTTCAGGCGCTGCTTCAGATGTTTCAGTCAAGGAGTTTCTTGATCGGTTTCCCCTTCCCGCCATTATCAAGTGAGTTTTAATTTTATAAAACATTTCACAATCCTTGAACGCGTTTGGGAAAAATGTTACTACTATTAATTTGTCGTCTGTGAGGGATTAGGAGGGAGAGAATATGTTTCTGTGGGCTCTGCGCCTTATTCTATCTAGCGAGCTTGTGTGTGTGTGCGTGCGTGTGTTTTCCCCCTTTTGTTTGGTTGTCTGAAGTCTGTTTTAGTGTTTTACGTTTATGATTTAGAAAGACCTGCGTTGCTCTTTCGAAGTGCTGTTCTTGTTTAATGTTTGAATTACTACTTAATTGAAGTAGGTAGCATTGGTAGTATGATTGTTTTCATGCCTTTTGTGTTTTACTTGCTTATTTTTATGTAATTTCAGTGCCTTGCAAACAAGAGGGGACTACCCTGGATTGGTTGACGTGCTGGTTGACAGTTTAGAAAGGGTGTTCAGGACAAAGTATGGAGCATCCCTCATCCCACATTACATGGTATGTTGATCATACCTCTCTCAAAAGAGAATATATTCAGTATTTTCAGATTAGAAAGTTAGTTGTCATGCTAAGTTCAACTTTCTCACTTGTTCAAACTTTGTAATTGATTAGTCTGTATATTTTCCTGAATATATATGTTCTATTGACTCTTTTTCTTTTACTTCGTACTCTTTCAGCCCTTCATTGTTGTTGGCTTGGGAGCTGATTCACAGAGAATCAGATATTTGGCTTGTAAAACAGTAAGTGCATTTTTGCATTTTCAACCTTGCAGCAGTTGATCCATGAAAATTATGGTTAAGAAACTCGCAAATCTCCATTTTGCAATCTTCATTTCCCTTTGCTCATGTTTCTTGAGCTTTTGAAAGCTTGGTGTTGGATGCCCCTATCTTTATCATTCTTTCTTATGAGCATTGTGGAAATTTGGTGATGCCTTCAGGTGTCTTGCCTTTTGGAGAACAATGACGACACTGTTGCCGTACATCTGATTTCCCAGTATGGTGTATACCCCCTCTTGCTAGATTGCCTTGTACAAGGGTAGGCTGAATGTTTCTGGCTTTCATATTTGCGCTGCATGTCTCTCTCTGTCAAACTTCCTTTTCCTTTTCCTTCTATTTCTTTGTCTTTCCTCCCCTTTTTGTTTCTGGTCATGTTTTTGATGGAAAGATAACAGAGGAATGTATTGAGCTCAGTTAGTTGGTCTAGTGGATGCGGGAGTTGTACTCCTTTTATTTTTTTGTCTTTCCTCCACTTTTTGTTTCCTGTTGGTGTCGTTCCGACCCTCCTATAACCTTCTTGATTAGCATTTTAGATAGATTTATGCATATTTACTAATGATGTGAGTTCAATTTATTGGTTTTTCGTAGAGATGAAAGAGTTGCAACTGCATCAGCAGAAGCGATTAGAAACTTAGCTGTTTCTCCCAAAGGCCTGGTATGTATTTTGGATTCCTACTTGTTCACCCCCGTGATTCAAGCCAATCATTTTCAACTAATCTTGGCATAATCAGAAATTTTCCTTACACTTCGGCAGGTGATAATGTTTCCATCGGATAGCAGTGAAGCAACTAACCTTGAAATTTTAGCTGGGAAATGTTCATCAATGGTACAAATTTAACAGTATATAGTTAATTTTTTAATCTGTTCGTTTAGTATCTTGATTTCATTCGTTCTGATGTTCAGGGTAGAGTTAGAGTTTTAGCATTGATAGTCAAGCTCTTCTCAGTTTCCAGTTCAGTTGCATCTGTGGTCTATAGTTCAAAACTTCTTGGTCTATTGGAGAAGGAAGTCAGTAACTCCGGTGACACCCTAGTAACCTTGACGGTTTTGGAACTTCTTTACGAGGTTCGCACAAATTTCTTTTTTTTTCCTCCGCCCTGTACACCACATGATTAAAATTTTTTATGTTTGTTTGGTCCTCTCTAGATAAAAAACAGAAAAAAAAATTGCAAAAAATTGATTCATTTGTGTGCATGCTGGATATGTTGACATTGATGATGTTGATTTGTGTGTGTGCATGCAGGGTACTCCCTTTGCTACGTTACTAAAAATTACTTGCTAATTGTCTTTGTTATTCTCATGATTGGATATCTGATTACATTTTAGAACATCTCGAATTAACATGACAGTAAGTGCTTATCCTGTGAATCAAAGTAATTGGAGAAGAATACTATCTTTAATCTTTACCGATCATGTTGCTTTTTCTTGTGTTTTACCTTTATTGGCTCAACAACTTTTAAGAGTCTCATTTGTGGGGCTTGTTTGTTTTGAATATTCACAGAAGAAGTGATTTCTGATTTCTATACTCTTTGTTTCTCATGTTTTGCCCTGCCATGTTTACATTATAAATGGGTGAAGTTAGCTGAAGTTCAACACAGCACTGAGTTCTTATCAAAGACGACTATCATCCAACTGCTATGTGCAATAATCAGGTCAGTAACAGGGTTTGTTCATTCTGAAACTGGTGCATGTCAGTGAACTGTTTCTTCTGTTATTAATTTAATTTACTTTCTTTTCCCCCATAGTGATGCATCTGCAGATTCAGTTTTAAGATCAAGAGCAATGATGATAACTGGAAGGCTGCTGTCAAAGGAAAATGTGTTTATGTTCCTGGACAACTCGAGTATGCTTTAACCCTCAAAATCTTTTTCCCTTGTGTTCAGTGAATGAGAACCCAGTGTTCATCTGTTGCTTTCAAAGTGTTCAATAACTTGAAATGACCATAGTGATTTTGCGTGTGATCTGATATCCATACTGAGTAGAATGCTAAGCTTTTTTGTTCATGCTACATAGTTCTGGCTCTAGGTTTTTCAACTTTCTGCCAGAACTTTTTATGGTATCTTATGGATGTCTGAATAACCTTGGTATTCCATTTGATCTATCGGTTTATTAAAAGGAATACTCATGCTTTAAAATGAAAACAGGGTTTTATAAGAAAAGAACTATCTTTTTAATGTAAGATGGCATGGACTATGCTTGACTTTTTTGAATCAGACTTTTTACCTATTCTTTACACAATAGAGTTTCAAACGTTTGAGGGATATGAAGGTTATGCTTTCATTTTCTTACATGGATCTAGGTTTTGAAGCTGTTATCTCAGCAATTTCCAGAAGGTTTGACTTCCTCGGTAGCCAAGATGCAGATGAATGTGAATGTGCGCTTGAAGCTTTGGGTCATATTGGGTCATGTAAGTATACCATTTAATCTATTTTTGAATTGATAGACAGATAACAGATTACTAAAGCTTTTTTAACCTCTCAAATCCAACAAAACAACATATCTAATGATTGGTTTCATTGTTAATGTTTAATAAGACTTTCTTGGAAAGCCAATTTTCTCTTTTTTCTTTTTCCTTTCTCACCTTCTTTTCTCTCGAAGCTTACATATGGTTTTGGAGTCTCATGAAGCGAACACATGATTTTTCCCACATAGCCAGCCTCACATAGTTGGATAAAGTTTTAGTTGTTGAAAGCATGATTTATACCTTTCTTGGCTTTGCACTTCGCATTGATGTATTTCATATTAGTTGAGTGGGTTGGTGGTCAATGACCATACTTTATTGTCATTGTTATTATTTATAATTTGATTAATCACTGGAGACTGCAGCAAACCAAGGAGCCACATTACTGTTCTCAAGTTCACCGCCTGCTGCTAGACACGTCATTGATGCTGCGTTTGACCGCCAACAACGTAATAAGCAACTGGTAAGTGACTTTCAGAGCATAGAGTTTCAGAATTTCCTCAGCCACTTCACTCTATGAATTATTTTCATGCCCATAGAAAATAAAAAGGTGGAGGGAAAAAATAGAACTTCTGAGAAGCTCAACTAACTCGTTGATGATTTGCTTATTTGATTCCTTCTTGTTTCTTGTTGATGTAAAATATACACAGGCTGCATTGCATTCCCTTGCTAACATAGTGGGAGAAGCTCGAAACGACATTATTCTAACTGGTGATGCAGAGGAAACTCTTCGTCGATTAATTTATGAAGCTGCATCCCGAACTTCAAAAGTGCTTCCATCTGTAAGTTGTACCTTGTGTTTTTCATTCGTTTTTTTTTCCTGCGTGTGTGTGATGTTATAACTTTGTGGCAGTATTTTAAATCATTGTTCTCTTCTTTGATGGTATTTTAACAATTTGTGCATGTTTCAGGGCCTTCTGCTATCAGTTCTTCAACAGGATTTTGAAATTCGATTGGCGGTGAGTATAGACTTGCTCAATTTGAATATAGAAGTTTCAAGCTGAATTTTATTTTGCCTCCATATTTGTATGTCATTATTTTCAAATCCGATAGTTCTTGCTTATGACATCATTATCCATTTTCTCTGGGCTCATACATGAAAATGGTGCGTATTCATGTTCAAAGAGCAGCAATTTCTACTGTTTGCTAGTAGAGTGAAAAGTTTTCCTTTCGAATATTTGAAATCAACTTGACCATTTCCTTTTCCTTCTGATGCAGGGCTACAGATTGATAACTGGACTGGTGGCTCGACCCTGGTGCTTGATGGAGATAATATTGAAGCCAGAGATAATTCAAATAGTAACTGATACATTGACTGAGACTCAAAAGATCGGTACGTTATTTGTCTGCTTACTTTGACTTCATGTCTTCACATAGTTCCTGCGTACTGTCTTTTTTTGCTCCGACTAGCCTATTGCGTTGAAGGTGCTGAAAAAGCTCTTCTTTGTGCTAATCAAGGAAACTTGTTCCATTGTGCAACCCCGCTTTTCATATTGAGTTACGAGGTCGGATGAATTTTCTTTATGATTGGTCCAGTCTGATGTTTTTCCTATGGGGACTCGGGATTTTTAGATTTAGAGTGTTAAAATACTAGTTTAAAAACTCAAAAAATATTCTCCTTTTTCTTCCGGGTGGGTGTGATGTACTTTTGATGTGATATAGGTGCAAATCCTTCTTCCCAGGATATGCTTTTGCTAAAAGTAAGGAAAAGCGATGCTGAAATCTAATTTTTAAATCTCAGACCTAATTGTCATTTTAAGCGCGTCACTTTTTCTCAGTTGTGAGCCTGAGTATTATCCACTCTTTCCCCAAGGATCATAAGATGTTACAATATCGTTCAGTGGCTATCGACCTAAGTAAGCCCTCCCCTTTTAGCGTGGGTTTGTGACAAGCTGCTTTTGAGGAGGGGAAATTCTCCTCTTTCGTTTATCTTTAATCAACGTACTCATGTGAATGTCAAGCATACAAGCATAAGAAAACCCACGACTTACGCATCCTTCTCTCAAAGATAGTAGTAATGGGGCTTCTTGGTATAAATAAAAGAATTTATCCTTCTCCCAGTGATGCTTCTGCTTTGCTTCTAGCTTGAGAAGGGGGGCCATTATCTGTTTCACAAGAGGTGGTCTTGTTGGTAACTCCAACATCGCTTGTAAAATTTGTTTGCAGTAACCTCATTTATAACTCCTTACTCTATAATTCTGTACCAAATTTGCAAGTCTCTTAGTTCTAACTTGGTATTTTTACCTCCTTCCTGGTCTTACCTGCATTTTATGTACTTGTATAGAATATAGATTTACTGGACGCAAGAAATATCGTGATAAGTTGAGAAGATTCTCATGTTAAGTAATGATGTTGCAATGATGATTCAGGTATGGAAGCAAGGCATAACTGTTGCCAAGCAGTATTCAAGTCATTGACTTCTTCGCCTAACCTTGTTAGTGACCCTGCTTTTGCAGGAGTTGCTGCAAAGGTGCGTTTCATTTGTTACCATTTTGCTATTGTCATATGGTTTAAGAATCCTACAACTTGCGTCTTTAGCTAAGCTACTAGGAAGGTGGGCGTGTCTTTGTTGTTGTCATGTAACATGAATGTGCATGAGATTAAATAACCGATATGTTTCCATATGATAGGTTTGTCATTTGGTCGTCTCATATGGGCTTTTGCTATTCCTTTTCATTTGCAGCTCCAGGAAGCCATCAGAAGGGGTCCATATCTTGCAAAAACTCGCACCGAAGCTCAACCTGCAGTGATGACCGCTGAGAGATTTTAGTTGCAAAATTGACTCTGTTCTGCTCATCCTTTCGGACTTGCTAATATCCGTCTTTGCTGTTGTTTAACAAAAAGTACTTGCTTCTTCAAGAAAAAAACAAACAGTACTTAGTGCATGAAAATGCTTGTGAATACAACATAGATGGTAAACGTATAACCCCTTTTTGTAAATTTCTCTAGTTGCCATGAGAAGTTGAGAACTTGTCGAGTAGTTGGAACTTGGAGACCGAAATGGCTTTTGCTCAACGAATGAATTCATGCCCCAGAATCAGAAAATCTCACTCTCATAAAATGTAGTTTTGCTGGTGCATTTATATCTTTGGCCCATTTTTAACAATACAGTTTGTTATAATAATTTACTACTAGACTTTAGTATCGTATAAAATGTATTTGATCAGTTAGTTGTGGTGAACTGGTGATGTTCGTAGTTCTACTTTTTGTCGCAATGATTCACAACGTTCATAGTTTGTTATAATAATTCACTGCGTTCATAGTTTGTTATAATAATTTAAAGAAGCATTTAAATGATTCACAATGTTCATAGTTCGTGTTACCAAAATGGATAGGCACATAAGCAAAGTTTTTGTGGCACTACATTTTCCCCTTGATCATGTAGTATTTTTTTTTTTTTTTTTGGTACAATGAGAGAGGTCAATGCCTAAGTTCAATAAATGATAACACTCTAATTAAATCATATATTATGCTATTTTCATATGCGTATTTCATAATTGTAAGATATCCTCTGATCCATATCGACAATGTTTTAATCACATGAAAAAATAGTCACTCTTAATATGAGGACAGATGTGATCGACTTATTAATGTGAGGACCGACATAGTTTCATTTTCACGAGCTATAAGCTGCACTAAAGCGAAAATTAAATGGCCTCGATTAAAAAAGTAAAGGGGCTAAATTGCAGCGATGCTGAAATCTCAAGGCCCCAAATTAAAAATCACATGGGGAATTAAAAAACACCCAGCAAAAACTTTGCGACTGTCTGGATAAGTGTTTCCCCGTAGCTGTTCTTAGGCTAATTCTCCTCCTCCTCTTCTTCCACTGCAATATCTCGGAGAGGGGTAAAGATCAAAATGGCTGCTGCAATGAGCATTTCTTCTTGTTTGGGATTCCATCGCAAGTTCAAATCCCTCTCTCTCTCAAATCCCGCCTCAACAATTAACCCTGCCAAGCCTCTCAGCTTCTCTGCTAACGCTTCTGTGTCCCTCTTTTCTCATGGTAAGCCCGAATTCGACTACCCATTATTGCTCAATTCATGGGGTTCATTCTTTTCGACATTTTGGGCCTTGTTAAAAGTGTTTGTATTGTTACCTTTTTTTTTTTTTAAGGGGAAGAGTTTTTACTGTGTGTTTGATTATATGAAGTGGTTAGATGTTGCGTTTGATTTTGAGTTTTCATTTCAGGGATTGTGGGTTTGACTCCTCTGCAAAGGTCATCTCGCCCATCAATTGTTTGTGAAGCTGCCCCTGCGAAGAAGGCGGATTCAGCTGCCAAGAGGGCTCGCCAAGCTGAGAAGAGGAGAATCTATAACAAATCCCGCAAGTCCGAGATAAGGACTCGAATGAAGAAGGTAATTCATCATTTATTTCGAATATGAAATTTCATTCTTTGTTAAAGTTTTAATTTTAGTAACTGGGCGTGGTGTATTTAGCTTCCCAAGCGGATTAGTGTTTGGGGAAGAACTTTTCTTCTGCTAGAACTTCCAGTTACAGGGCTTAAGCCGTTTATTACGTTTCCTGAGGGCCTTTTAAAAGTTTTAAGTTGGCTGGCTTTTCTCATTTTAAAGAGTAATTAGCATAGGCACTGTGTAGCTTTTATTGATATAACACATAAATTAGAAACGTCTTCGGGGTGGTGTTAACTTTGGTGACTAAATAACAGAAATGAACTTGACGATTACCTTTACGATGTTATTGAGCTAGGAGACAATAGTTTTGCGGGGAGAATAAAAAGCTTGACTTAAATGGCCTGGATGTTGTTTGTTTATTTTCCAATTTGCACTGTCAAGAGGGAGAGCTTTGAGAGAATTCCGTATGTGAGTTGCGTGTTCCTTCTTGTGTTCTTCATTCTATTCTCTTGACTTGATCATAGAGTTTCTGTCTGATCTCAACTTGTTTGATGTCCTAGTGAAATGTTCCTTCTTGGTAAGTTTTCTTACCAAACTATTAGGGGCGAAATATCTGAAAGATGATGGCCTGGAGTTGATACATGGCAAGTATAGATTGAGATCATACCAGTGAAAGCTACCCAATGTTTGATGTCTGCCTCGTGGAATGAATTTTCTCATCTGAAAGATATCTTTTTGCTACTTCATTTTTTGAGGGTCACTTAAGACAAAGGAAGCCACCTTTTCTGATTCTGACTGTGAGGACACTGTGGGTTCTATAAGAATATTGCATAATGTATAGACATTGTCATGTGCTTACTTTGGTTAGTAGGTAAGAGAATTGAACTTGAAGACTGCCTTTATGAATGTTGTCAGCCTAAAGACAAAGACAAATAAAAACCTTGATTATAGAAGCCTGAACATAATTGTTTATTTCCAATTGCCAACTTGCACTTCAACTATATTTGAGCTAATTTCATTTGTGAGTTGGATGTTCTTTTTTGTTTATTATTCTGTTCTATTGAGGATAGAGTTTCTGCCTCATTTGTGTATTGTTTGAAGTTTTTGGTAAAATATATCTTTGTGGTTCATTTCATTGAAGACTGTTGCTTCTTTACTCCCTTGCTGACCACACTATTAGAATGCTAAATATCTGAAAGATAACCAGAAGTTGATAAATGCCAAGTATGGCCGCAAAGATAGAGATTCATAGAACTGACAGCTGCCTAGTTTTTTTATATCTATCCTGTACATCACAAATTCTTCACTTCTGAAAAATATCTGGTGTCTCAATGTGCAGCATTGTGGGTTGGAATTTTTCTACTCCGCTTGTTACTGATCAGTATTTTTTATTTCTGGTCAATCTTCAGGTTTTGGAAGAACTAGAAGTTCTCCGCAAGAAACCTGATGCCCAGCCTGATGAAGTATTACAGATTGAGAAACTGATTGCTGAGGCGTACTCAGTTATTGATAAAGCCGTAAAAGTAGGAACTCTACACAGGAATACAGGAGCAAGGAGGAAATCTAGGCTTGCCAGAAGCAAAAAAGCAGTTGAAATCCATCATGGATGGTATAGTCCCGTAGCTGCTGAACCCGCTACTGCTGCTGCACCCACAGCATGATACGAACCTTCTCTATCCCCTTGTCTAGTTGTAGATTGGACTTGTTTTTTCACTTTAGCTGTTGGATGATAAACATCCTTATTTTTGTTAAAGCCATTTGTAAAATCCCATGTTACTACTAAGTTCAACTTGTCCTGGCTTCTGAACCTGTTTGATCTCTTTGCTTAATGCATTTGAGGTCAATTTTGACATAGCTGCATGAAATGAATCAACTACTAGCCAAAATGCATATTCCATGTTCGATGTAACATTGCCATAATCCGTTCCATCAGCGCCTCTTACTCGAGACTTGGTACATTATGTTGTGATTTCTAGTTCTATATTTTTATTATCCAGACTTCAAGAATTAAGTATGCAACACACGAGCAAGTCTTAATTGGGTTAGTAATTGACTCGCCAAACACGAAACCTATACGAATGAAAGGCCTAACAAAAAGATTTAACGCTGTTCCATGTTTATGGCGATTAAAGGATGAGTCCTCCAACTCAATTACAATCTTTTTTACTCCTCTTTCCAAAATTATTGTTCAGTTTGAATTTTCATTTTTAATTCAAATCTATATCTCTATATATATTAACAAAGAGTTTTCAATCGGACACATAACACAAAATTAGATAAGTTAATCCACGTGGCGAAAAATTAGACAACCAAGTCCACGTGTCACACCTACATCACTCCATCATTTAATGATAAATTTTTAATGTAAAATCATAAATTTACAGACATAAAACTAAATTAACTAAAAAAACAAAAGGGAAAAAAATAAAATTAACGACAACTAAATCCTAATTAATTAATAACCGGTTATTGTGGAGCATAGTAAAAAAAACACTAATAAAAAATTGATCAAAATTCCACTTCCTCTAATTCTCTAACCATTGTAATTGTAATAAGAGTCCATTATGCTACGTGGTAATGATGCCTAAAAAGAGTGGTATAAGTTACTACATAAGGAAAATGTAAAAAGAAGCTCACTTCGGGCAAAGGAAAAAAAAGGAACTTAACAAATCAATTAAATGTTTACTTTGCCCGTGGTCTTTTACATTCATTCTTTATACGCCTTTTCCTTATACTTAATATAAAAGCACAGTAGTCAAGAAATTAAATGCCCAAGAAATATTCAGGGCCACCTTCAAATCGTTCTCGTTGGTCGGATGGTCTCGATATGACGTCAGCGACTTATTAGGGACAATAATGAGATTTCATAAATGCATGCCCTCCCAATTTTAAATAAAAATCCCCAAACTTTTAAAACAAAGTCGTTGACCAATCCCTATAAATTTGTTTGAAAACTCCCAACCCACAAAACGACGTCGTTTTGTATTACTCACTAATCAACTAAAATTCCCCATTTGCCCTCATCGTCCACCTCATCTTCTTCACCCAAAACTATTAAAAGAAAAGTTGTGCCTCCACTACGACCCAAAAAAACCCGACCTGAACCTCATCTTCCTCTCCAAAAAACCAAAAAAAAAAAAAAACCATAGGGTACAATACTTTCTCCACCTACACTGCCACCTACTACCGTTCATCGTCCTCCTTACCATGAAAAACCAGATTCTCCATCAGATCCAATGCGTCGAGTCGCCGAAAGAGAGGCAGCGGAACAACTGGTATCCGAAGCACGGAGGAATAGAATTTGGAAATTACCATTTAATCTTAGATTTGTATAAGGCTGTAAATTCCGAATTGTAATATAAATGGGAATTTTAGATTCATTAGAAAGTTGAGGTCGGCTACCATGGCTATAAAAGCCCAGCGAACCTCACAATTTTAGACCACATCAAGTTTTCTTGTTCAGCTCTCTAGCATAATACTTCGACGGGCTTTTCTGCTGATGTCATGGTAGCATAGTGCTTTCTATGTATATATAGTCTTGTCATGATGAGATCAAATTCGCCATCCCCTTGAAATTCAATTAGGGAGGAGCTTGATTCTTAAAAAAAAAAAGCATTATAAAAACTTGGAATTGAAGGAACTCCGTCACCGGCACCGACACCATGATGATCTCTCAATTCTTCGTGCTCTCCAGAGAGGCGAGAACATCGTGTTCCGCGGCTGTGAGTTTCCTTTGCCCCTATCTCTTCCCTTAATTTTTTCATAGAATAGTGGTACTGTAAATCAGATCTACTTAGATAGCTGATATTTGACAAATTGGAGCTCTTTCATTCTAAATTTGTCTTTTTATTTGTATGATTTTGGAATACAATGTTTTTTTATTCTCCCAGCTAGCAACTTGAATTTCTCTATTCTGAACTAAATCTTAATTATGTATCTGTTGTCTTTCCACTGTGGGAGTCATGATTTACTGGATATTATGGTCCCTTATAACATCGTAGTGTTAATTATGCTGCATGTTTTCTTTTTCCATTCTAATAAAATAGCTCTTCACTTTGTCGTTCTTGCTCTTATAGAGTATAGAGTATGTGTGATTGTCAACCTTATGTTTGTAGTGGTTAGGTTTATTAGAATGTGCAACATAAGCTTATTTCTCGGTGAAGTTTAAATGAAGAAAATATGTGTTTGGGAATGGATGAGATCGTTATGATCACTTATGTGTGTTTGGCTGAATTTTAAAGGGTCTTATTGGTTTACGAATATCATGCAGACATCGATCAAGTGAGCTATATTTTGCTGCTGTTCAAGATTTTAAGATGTTGTTTTATGCCTTATTCTTTGAAATGCAGATCGTGGTGACATACAAAAGGGAAGTGCTGAGACCTTCTTCCACAAGGTTAAACTTTGGAGTGAAGACGGCGAAGAGGAGGCTCCGCCTGTATTTGTAGGTATTTCTGTTAGTAGGTTAACCCTCTGCAAGTGTTACTTAAGCTAATGATGTGTATGTTTCCGTTCATAGAATGTGAATTGTGTAAACTACTTCCATGTCAAGGTGGCTGGCCTGGGCTCTTTTTTGTTGCAACCACGAGAACAAACATTGCTCCTTCTCTCATTCTGGAGCTTTTACAGAGCATTGCTCGTGTCATCAAGGATTATCTAGCATTCTTAATGAAGATTCTCTGCGGAAGAATTTTGTGCTCGTTTATGAGTTGCTTGATGAAGTCATCGTAAGTAAATATATTTTGAGTCATATCTTGCATATGTGCTGAAAACTCAAATTATTCGAGTAATTACCAAGCCCTGTTTTCTCCCTTTTCTATCTTTTGGTTGTGCTAAGTTTCACGATGGTTCTGATATTAACTGATTCAGTAAGGTTCTTGATCTGCGTTTCAGTAACATTTTTTTCTACAAAGACAAGCAGTAAGATTTTTTTTTCAAGAAATATTTTGGGGCATCTTCAAAGCGATTTCGTCCGTCAGATGGGTTCAATCCGACAGTCGGTATTAATCACTTATTAGAGGCAAAAATGAAATTTCAACTGTGCTTTTGAGGGTAATAAGAAAAAACCCCCAATAAACAAACGTAAATTTTTGAGGATAAAAAGCAAAAAACCCCCCGATGAAGAAAACGATGTTGTCACCTTCCCCTGCCTAATTTCCCCCAAAACTCCACCCAAATGACGTCGTGCCTTTATCTCTAAACCAAAAAACCCTCTCTCCCCTCGTCGTTCTCAGAATTACCTCTTCCCCGACTTTTTCTTTTGCCACCCTCCGTTGGAAATCAGTCAATCGCCTCGTTTCCACCGTGACCCTAACACTGCCGGCGGCGTTTCCACCGAAACCATGGTCTTGGGCCTTGGATTTATTTTGGCCCAACAAGAAACAATTTTTGATTTTTCTCTTCAAATAGGATTAGGAAATCACCAGAAAAATTTTTTTTTCCAATTCCAAATCGTTCCATGATTTCAAACTTCCAATCGGATTAAAATTCAAAGTCGGCAACCGGTCTATAAAAACACCAGCAATCCCCACAAATAGAACCACCCCAAACTCTCTCAACAGCTGATTTTACTTCCCTTTGGATTTTCGACGATCCCCAAAGATTTCGATTATGCCAGAGTCGGTTGCATTGACGATGTCGTTGTCGACCAAGACCATGGAGATGGCGAGTGGTGCATGGTATTGTGCTGGAGGTAATTCAATTGTAATGTTTAGATAAGACTAGAAATTGCCAAAAAATAATGATTATCCGATACTGCACCTTGCACTCTTGTAGCTGCTTCATGGGTATTTTGTTTTGCCCATTGGTTCATGTTTGTTCACATCAACTGTATATTATTCATGTACATGACAGTTTGAAGAGTTCTTTGATAGTCTATGTGGTGTAAATTTTTAGATTTTATTTCTTTTTCTTTCTATTGCCATGAACTTGTGGATTGTTCAAAACAGGATCAGATCCTTTGTAACTAAGGATGGTAAACTAATGGGGTTAGTTTGTTTCATAAATTTATAAACTAAGTTGTTATCCTGATGTGTTTGTGGCAAGCTGATAAAGACGCCAATGAGATTTATGCTCAAATGCATCGATGAACTCTGTAAGTTTCGCGCTAAAATTTGTACTTGTATAATCATTATTATATTGGCTGAACTGAAGAATTCCACTGAATCATTGTGATATTGTGATGAGTTCTTAGTGATATGGAGTTCTTCTCTTGTTTTTGGATCAGGAAAAGGATGCCTCCCCCATGCCAGATTTTGGCTAAAGACTGGCAAACATCCTACTGAGTTCTTCTGCAAGACTTTGACTGCAAGGGACACTAGCACTCATGATGGGTTCTCAGTTCCATGAAGAGTAGCTGAGAAAACTCTTTCCACAGCTGGTTAGGTTCCCCATTGCATGAGATTTCTTGCCTTGCCTGGATGGCATTCCCATTCCAAGACTTGGTATTCATATTTTCTCTATGTTAATTTAGGCTTCTATTCTCCCCCTGCCATTATAATCGCTGTCGATTTTATGTTGTTTACTTTTTTCAGGTATTTATTTACTATTTTGTAAGATTTAACGAGTCTAAAGTTTCTGAAATTCAGTGGTAGAGGTGTTTATTATGCTTTTTCTCTTTTAGTTTATGTGCTTAAAATTTTCCTTTTGTTTGTTAAAAACTTTTGCCCTGATCCTTTTGATAGTTAGTGATTCCATTATTCTATCTTATATGGTTTTTGAATAAAAGCAGCATGGATATTGGGGCGAAGGTGTTGCGGCTACCACTCTTAAATTCATCTTGGTAGATTATATATAGATCGTAGTACACAGATTTCAGATAAATTCAGGTTTCACTACGTTTTCACCTCAAGCTTTTGCTTAAATCCTAGAGAGTTTAGCTTGGTTAAATCATATATTACGTACCGGTTGGTTTTTAGTCTTCAATTTGTGGTTGCAAATACCACATTAGATTTAAATTTCTACCTCGATATTTTAGGTGTCGTATAAGGTTGAATATGCGTGACCACAGTGGTCACT